GTTAGGTGATTTCTGCCCTTTATGGATTAAAACCAGACTCTGTATCAACTGTGTAATTTTCCATGGGAGTTTTACCATGGATCCCCCTCCGGCATGCCACAGTCCAGGTGTTAGTCCCCTTGAAACAACTTTTCCATCCCTATTGTGGCCAGAAAAAGTCCCTGTGTGTTTTAAAATTCGCCTCCCCATTGAAGTCAATGGCGTTTCGGGCGGTTCGCCGGTTCGCGAACATTTGCGGAAGTTCGCGTTCGCCGTTCGCGAACCGAAAATTTCGGGTTCGCGACATCACTAGTGGCCAGATGAGACCAAAATTGAGTTTTTTGGCATCAACTCAACTCGCCTTGTGTGAAGGAGGAGATATGCTGCCTATGACCCCAAGAACACCATCGCCACTTTCAAACATCGAACCTCCTTCCCTCAGCCAGGGCATTGAAAATGGGTCGTGGATGGGTATTCTAGCATGACAATGACCCAAAACACACAGCCAAGGCAACAAAGGAGTTGCTCAAGAAGAAGCACATTAAGGTCTTGGAGTGGCTTAGTCAGTCTCCAGACCTAAACCTCATAGAAAATCTGTGGAGTGGGCTGAAGGTTCAAGTTGACAAATGTCAGCCTCAAAACCTTAATGACTTGGAGAGGATCTGCAAAGATGATTGGGACAAAATACCTCCTGAGATGTGTGCAAACCTGGTGGCCAACTACAAGAAACGTCTGACCTCTGTGATTGCCACCAAGTAATAAGTCGAAGGGGTCAAGTACTTCATTCATTCATTGACATACAAATCAATGTATAACTTTTTTGACATGCGTTTTTGTGGAATTTTTTTATTATTATTCTGTCTCTCACTTAAAATACACCTACAATTAAAATTATACACTGATCATGTCTTTGCCAGTGGGAAACCGTTCAAAATCAGCAGGGGATCAAATACTTTTTTCTTTCAAGTAGAGTTTTACTGGGGTGATTAAATCAGAAAAAAAAAATTGATTGAAGACATTACTGACTTTCTGTTTGACACAACTGTTTGCGTAAGACCTGTAATTTTAATACCCATAATACCCATAATGCAAATGTTTACATATCTGTTCTCTCCATATATCACTGTTTCAAGTCTATTCTAGTTTTCTTAATTAACTTGTCTCACATATTCACAAATAATAATTTGCCACAGATAAAGTAAGGGTTTTAGAAACCAAAAAACTAACATTATTACTTGCATTGTATTATACAGCGTAACATTTAGATAATTTTGTTCCTTATGTAATGCAATAAGGAAGATTAATGTATATTCTGGGGTTTCCCGTAAAGATAATTTAGCTGCCATATAAAGAAAAATGTTTCCTGGTAATGGTTCTAGATAATATGTCAAATAACAACCATATAATAGAATCTAGTAAAACATTGTATGCAAAGTATCATTTCAACCAATATAAATGTTCAAAGCCAATTCCACAAAACCCACACATCTTTCCTCTTGGCGACAACTAGCCATGGGTGTGGCTCCAGGGCAACAGTTAAATTGTTTGAAATTTCACACAGGCCAGTGTAATAATGAAAACAAAAGCAACAACCACAATAAGTGACATATTTAACGCAGCTTCAAAAACTGGACTGAAACTGAAACTGTACACAAGCCATTTTTGTAATTTTTGCTGTTTGTGTTCAAACGCAATTGCATCTCTGTCATTTATTGCACCAACACATATTATATACTGTTTTTAGAGGGCAAAAGGGGCTTTAATTTGATGTGACATATACATAGATAAATTCTAATTAATTATAAAACGAATGCCAAAATATTGGGGGGTTGGGGGGAAACACACCAAAAAAAAAAAATTCACAGTTTTGGCAAGAATGACGTGTGCATAATATGTCCAGTTTAGAAAAAGTAATTCAAAATAAATTAATTTATGTGTCTTGATTTATAGAGTACATAATATGTATAGGATTTCAGCTTATTTTGAAAGTTACAGGTCACAAAATACAAGGACTAAAATATAATTTCAATGTGAAGCAATTTTAGAAGTTGGTATGTTTGTCTTGTAGGTTTAGTAGCCATCACAGAAAAAAAAGTTACCACAAAAAAAGTATATATTTATATAAAGTAGACATCACAGGCTATTTACCACAGATTATTTTGACACTTTTTACATAGTCATTTCATCGCCAATCTCTGCTAAATGTTGGAGTAAAATTTATTTTTTTCTCTATTTTGGCATAAACACAAATAAGAAGGTTTTTGTAATATATATTTTGTAAAGCTGCTGTGTGCTATTCCTGTACATATTGTGTCCAGCTACATCTGCTGAGTATAACGATACCCCCATTGTATGCCTTTTGCACTATTCTGTAAAGCTACAATGCCATATAAGAGACAAGGCTATTTCAGTTTCTATAGTTAGAATTTTCATGGATGGATTTGACGGGCCTGTGTCTCATTTTGGGGTATTTATATCCTTAACTTGTCACCATTTTTCACTTGTGATCAACTGGCAGGGAAGGGGTTAATTTTATTAAAGCAGGGGAAAGAGGGGTGGGATTTAACTTTGTAACGGATCACCTGGCACCCCGACTGGGTACCTCCATTGAAAGATGCTCCTAGCGCTTCCTGAGGACTCCAAGCACTGCAACAGACGCCACAATCACCGAACCAGAGAAGCGTATACCTTCTCTCAAGCATATGAATGCTGTAGACAGTTGAATAGGAACCATACGAATAGGTTTACTCTCCTAGCAGTCAAACTGGAACAGCATACAATAAATCCTTCCCCCAATAATGAGACGACACTTCACTTTGAGGGTTAAAACAGGAACTCCCTGTACTATCACATACAGTCTCTTTTATTCCCAATCCACAAACATAGTACAGCCCACAGGGCGTTACAAAACAGCCAATCAATCCATACAATACACCCAGACACTCCCCCACAAAATCCTCCCCTCTGGCCAGAGAAATACAGTTTCATAAAACACATCACAGGGACCCCAAAACATGCAATAACAGTTATCCTTGGAACTGGGGGATCTGGGTGAACCACATATCCAAAATTCACCCAGATCCGTTCAGTACTTTGGAAAATACAGTTTAATGCAGATTCTGCAGAATATATACAGGCTAAATAAAAAACAATCACTGTATAATGTGTCCCCTGCTGTATAGTCCAAAACCACCGCACGATGTCTCTGTGCAACAAATACTGGCGAGATGGCACTGTGTTGAAAAGTCCACACAGTGTCTGGGAGTTAAAATGGCCGCCATCCATTGTTCTCACCATGTGCTTCTGATACAGGAAATGGTGGCCACCCAGTAACTCCACAGTATGTCCCCAGATGGTTCTTAAAAGGGCCAGCAGCAGCACAACACAAATCCATTATGCCAAAATCATGTCTTTAAAGGGCAATACATCCCAGGGGCCATAGTCACATGGCAGGAGGCTGGCAACCAGGCTTCTCCAGTGCATAGTGGCGAGGTTGGTTTCACCACAAACTTAAACTTTATTCTTTCACACAAGGAGAAGATCAGCAGCACTGATCCATCTCCCTGCGCTTCACATAGAACATAGAAGAGCAGGGAGGTGGATCAGAAGGTGGACAGCGCGTTCGGGTGCTCCCCGTCTGCGTTGAATAACGAGGCAGACCGGAGGAGCGTCAGCCGGTGTTAAGTGCTTCCCCAGCATGACGGACCCAGTCCATCATCCGGTGATAAGGGGTTAAAGGAATGGCAAACTTATTACATTTTTGCCTGTTCTCGGTGTTCTCAAATGTTTTGTTTGTTTTTGCTTCAATGCATTTGTTAGTATATTCCTGCATTAAAATGGTAATCCACGTGTAGACCCTTCTGGATCCCAGGTGCACTTCACTGACAAGGCCCAAACAAGGCACAAATAATTGTCTACATTAGCTGCAGCTCTTGTGCAGAGGAGGATTTCTGGCATTTTAGATTTGGACCACCATTTTGGATTAAATCAGGTTACTACGCACCATGTAAAACTTTTTTTGTCAAATATTTTTTTTTTTTTTTATAAAGCAACAAGAATTAATAAACAAATAATTCTTAAAAAAATTTGCACACTTACATAATTTTCATTTTTACATTTGTCTGCAAAGCAATATACAGGGAGTGCAGAATTATTAGGCAAATGAGTATTTTGACCACATCATCCTCTTTATGCATGTTGTCTTACTCCAAGCTGTATAGGCTCGAAAGCCTACTACCAATTAAGCATATTAGGTGATGTGCATCTCTGTAATGAGAAGGGGTGTGGTCTAATGGCATCAACACCCTATATCAGGTGTGCATAATTATTAGGCAACTTCCTTTCCTTTGGCAAAATGGGTCAAAAGAAGGACTTGACAGGCTCAGAAAAGTCAAAATAGTGAGATATCTTGCAGAGGGATGCAGCACTCTTAAAATTGCAAAGCTTCTGAAGCGTGATCATCGAACAATCAAGCGTTTCATTCAAAATAGTCAACAGGGTCGCAAGAAGCGTGTGGAAAAACCAAGGCGCAAAATAACTGCCCATGAACTGAGAAAAGTCAAGCGTGCAGCTGCCACGATGCCACTTGCCACCAGTTTGGCCATATTTCAGAGCTGCAACATCACTGGAGTGCCAAAAGCACAAGGTGTGCAATACTCAGAGACATGGCCAAGGTAAGAAAGGCTGAAAGACGACCACCACTGAACAAGACACACAAGCTGAAACGTCAAGACTGGGCCAAGAAATATCTCAAGACTGATTTTCCTAAGGTTTTATGGACTGATGAAATGAGAGTGAGTCTTGATGGGCCAGATGGATGGGCCCGTGGCTGGATTGGTAAGGGCAGAGAGCTCCAGTCCGACTCAGACGCCAGCAAGGTGGAGGTGGAGTACTGGTTTGGGCTGGTATCATCAAAGATGAGCTTGTGGGGCCTTTTCAGGTTGAGGATGGAGTCAAGCTCAACTCCCAGTCCTACAGCCAGTTCCTGGAAGACACCTTCTTCAAGCAGTGGTACAGGAAGAAGTCTGCATCCTTCAAGAAAAACATGATTTTCATGCAGGACAATGCTCCATCACACGCGTCCAAGTACTCCACAGCGTGGCTGGCAAGAAAGGGTATAAAAGAAGAAAAATCTAATGACATGGCCTCCTTGTTCACCTGATCTGAACCCCATTGAGAACCTGTGGTCCATCATCAAATGTGAGATTTACAAGGAGGAAAACAGTACACCTCTCTGAACAGTGTCTGGGAGGCTGTGGTTGCTGCTGCACGCAATGTTGATGGTGAACAGATCAAAACACTGACAGAATCCATGGATGGCAGGCTTTTGAGTGTCCTTGCAAAGAAAGGTAGCTATATTGGTCACTGATTTGTTTTTGTTTTGTTTTTGAATGTCAGAAATGTATATTTGTGAATGTTGAGATGTTATATTAGTTTCACTGGTAATAATAAATAATTGAAATGGGTATATATTTGTTTTTTGTTAAGTTGCCTAATAATTATGCACAGTAATAGTCACCTGCAAACACAGATATCCCCCTAACATAGCTCAAACTAAAAACAAACTAAAAACTACTTCCAAAAATATTCAGCTTTGATATTAATGAGTTTTTTGGGTTCATTGAGAACATGGTTGTTGTTCAATAATAAAATTAATCCTCAAAAATACAACTTGCCTAATAATTCTGCACTTCCTGTATAGCGAAAATGGATGTGTTATGGCATGTTTATGTGCTAGCTATGCATCTCTTGCTTCATATACATATTGTGTTAATATATTTTCAATCACAACTCTTTACGAAAAGCCGTTTTACATACATTTTATTTCTTTCAAAATCGTCAGCCTGTTTTACTGTAATACTCTGCTTTGTGTGTTATGAACCATGATGGCAGCTGACATTCCATTGTACCTTCCAGTAAGTGTTGTACTCTCCTTAAGCACAGTTTTGTTGATCTTCCAAAATACGTAAGACCAACAAGTCTGTTTTTTCATCTCTTGTCGAGCATGGATTTGTCTGGGTCATGCTCTGTTTAATTCATGTATATTATTTTTTTAGCAATAGCTTCTGTCCTACTGTCTGTTATGCAGTTTCAGTATATCCTTGTGATTTATATATACCCAAGTTCTTTGTTTGCGGATTCTTATGTGTGGAGATTCTTTTGATATCCTCTTGCACTTTTTTTTTGTTTTATTCCAGGTAATTACATTTACCAGTTTACATTCAACCATTTTACTTGTGCACCATATCTCTTTACACTAGATATCTAGACAGACAGATCAAATAAAAAATAAAATAATATTAAATTAAAAAAATTAATACAATTACCATAACAACAAACTTTTGAACTTCTAAATCTTGTTGCTTTTGTCCAATTTCTTTACAAAGTCTTCAGCTTTCCTCCGTTTCCAGTAAATCCATTTATTTCTGGTTGAGCAGGTGCATGTGACATCTTACACAGATCTACTTTTTGCTTTCTCTATTCATCTTACTAGAAGACATTCACCTGGGGACTAATTGAGCATTTTTGTAGCATGACATTAAATTCCCAGATTTTACTATTAACATGACGTAAAAATATGATTTTATTAAAGACACGTAGGCGAGTATTATGCATAACTCTTTCTTTATTTCCTCAGCAGCAAAGATAGAGGAATATAAATATTATCAAAATGAAAGAAAAAACTGTATAGGCACACAGGCAACCAATCACATAACAGAGGAAATGACTATAAAAGGCCTGTTTCTCCCACAATCCCCCTCTTTCTTGCGAAAACCGAAGACCAAGGAAATACAAAATGATTTCACATCCGGCAAGAACGGGGAAACCGTAACCAAATGACAACTTCAAGCTTAAAGAGAGAGAAAAATATGGTAATAACCAAACTCCAAACTGAAGACTTACCCAGCAACTATGTTAATGGCTTCTTGGAGTTCAATCTAAAACATAGAGAAGAAAATTTTATTAGTATATAGCCATATAAGCTAAACATTAACATTATAATAAAACAGATATGTATGCCACAATAAATAGACCAACATTAACATACCTGAAATCCAACCGCATCACATCTAATGACCCAACATTGGGAGGGCGGGTGGGAATAATACTCGCCTCTGTGTCTTTAATAAAATTATGACTTTACGTCATGTTAATAGTAAAATCTGGGAATTTTATTAAAGACACGGAGGCTCATATTATGCATATAATGACCATAACAACAAACTTTTTAACTTGTGAATCTTGTTGCTTTTGTCTAAGCTTTTCACAAAGTCTTCAGCTTTCCCCCCATTTCCAGTAAATCCATTTGTTTCTGGTTAATGGCAGTACAATGAGCAGGTGCATGTGACATCTCACACAGATCTACCTTTTGCTTTCTCTATTCATCTTACTAGAAGACATTCGCCTGGGGACTAATTGGGTACATGCAATCACATTTTGTTTTAAAATTCTTTATTTTTGTTGTGCAAAATTTCGACATACAAGCTTGTTATGCCACAACAGCAAATACAGGTATTGCTAAAGGTATAATACTGTGGTATGTGATAGGACTGCACATTTTTATTTAAGTAATAAACAGGCTGATACAAGATATGTAAGCTAATGAGAGGGAAATAAGGTTGAATGAGACATATTATTAAGGCTGATGTTAGCATAGTCAAAGAAACAAACGTAAAATAGTGTAACACGCTAATCTATAGTTAATTCTGTAGCTTCATTGCCGCTGGGAGCTATTCTCGGTGTAGGAGTTCTGATCCACCAAAGTAGACATCAAAGCCCTGTCCAAGAAAATCAGGGCAATGCTGCAAGCTGACATGGCAGTACTGAGGGAGGAAACGGCGGAGCTCACCTGCCGAACGGTTACAGCCGAGGAGAATCTAAGCGCCATAAATGTGGCACAGGCGGCCACGGATGCGGCCCTC